GCCCTCAACAGTCACATAAAGCTGTGTGAAGTGTGATTGTTAGTTTGTTAGAGTATTGGATCCACATGTTAAGGTTTAACCTTCAATTATAAACCGTAATTGTTTTTTATGTAAAAACTACAAAATCAGAAGCTGTGTGTTTGTTTTTATGTATTAGAAATAATATGAGAGCATAACGATTGACTGTCAAACTGTCCACTGTGTACCTTTCACCCCAACACAGCCGGGATAGACTCCAGCCTCCCTGCGACCCTGAATTGAATAAACAGATTTAAAAAAGGATGGATAAATATGTTTTATGTCCTGCCACAGGCAGCAGGCTTGTAAAATCTTGTGTGTCAATTAAGTACCTTTGTTCCAGACGTCTCAGATCACAATGATGTGAAAAAGAAAGCTTTCAAAAACTCGACCCCAACAACCGCTTTTAGCAGCAATAACTTAAAGTAATTGTTCTCTGTAAGACTCGTTCACATTGTTGTGAAGAAACTTTGTCACACATTTCTTTACAGCTTTAGTTTTGCTTTAGTTCATTGAGGTTTGTGGGCATCTGCACAGCTCTCTTAAGGGCCTACCACATTTCATTCGGCTCGAGGTCTGGACTTTGACTGGCCTGTTGCAACACCTCGACTCTTATTTTTTGTAGATTTGCTGCTGTGCTTGGAATTGCGATTGCCCATACTTGTGCTGAGCTTTAGCTGTTGGACAGATGGCCTGACATCTCCCTCAAGAATACTTGAGTTCCCAGGTCAAAACAAGCCCAAATCATCACCCCTCCACCACCGTGCTTGACAGTTGGTATAAGGTGTTTCTACTGATAAGTTTGTGGTAGAAAAAGAAGCCTACACGAGGGCCGTGTAACCAGAGTGAATCATTTTTTTACCATCACCAGTAGTTCAGTGTTCTGTGAATGTGTGCATAAAACCTTTCTTAGAAAACAGAAACTAATTTTCTGTTTGCAGCTGATTTGCTCTCTAATATTCTTCTTAGACTTTCCTGTTCAGTGAGTCACATGGACACTTTCATGCCACATTGTTTAGATTGCCTGCAAACCAAGGACAAACGGCCCAGTCAGTCTCCAAGCCAAAGACGATGTGATGTCCTACTGATATCCAACAAACTGCTGCAAATTTACCAGTACTGTAACAAAAAATAAAATCCAGTATTAGTATTGACGTGACAGCAGACTTTCACTGCATGCTTTTTGTGGCCAAGTTATAACAATATGTAGAGAATATATGAAAAATTAAGTCAAATCTCTTAATCTTGAAATCGTTCATATTGTGTTTTATTGTTTTTGTCAAATGAAACACTCAAAAAGCAAAAGAGAGAGCGAGGGGATCTGAAACCGTAATTATACAGAAGCGTAAGAAAACTGCAGTTAACGGAAGCTCGCAAGACCTGACAGCAGCCATCAGCTGAAACAAAACCACTCTTTTATCAACCTATTTGTCGAACTGCCACTGTTGCATTTCACACAGTATTTCTTTTTTCATTCTGTCTTGTCTTTCCTCCAATCCCAGGTGCAAGAAGTTCGGTATTCCCATTGAGAAAATCTACAACAAAACCCAGAGAGAGAAGTTCGCCTGGGCGATCGACATGGCCGATAAAGACTATGAGTTTTAAACCTATTTAATGTTTTACCTTTTATACCCATGCCTTTGATATGAAAATGGTTTGCAGGAGATGTCAAAATGTTTCCACTGTGTTGCTGCTGCAGGGCAGTGAAGGAGGAAGGTAAGCCTCTGCTCGAGAGCCGATCGCAGGTGAATAATTGTGCTGTACATAAGGATTAGCTATGTATAGGAAAATAACTCCTTAACCATTTGACCAAGCTGCCGAAGGGCATCTCTCTCTTACAAAACTACAGTATTGCGTATGTAGCTGCAGCTATCTGCCTGTGACCCAGCAGCGACGGACGCATTAGTATTATCTTTTGTGAGATAAAATGTATTGAAATTTGTAAGCCATCAGATTTATTGAGAAATAAATCTATATTGTCATAGAATAATGAATTAAACAAATGTTTGTATGGGAGACTGTGAGACGCAACACGAGAGAGAGGTGATGTGATGACTTTTCATTTGTGTAATTTTAGTGTGAAAGATGAAATGAAATGACAGACTGGTGACAGTGTGAAGATCAGAAAACCCCAGCACTATGCTCGCACAACTATTAGCGCACAGAATGTCGTCCTTTTTTCCATCACCTCTCTGAGTTTGCTGTTTCTTTCAGGGATGTACATATACTTTTGTCTGTTTTTTGTTTTGTTTTGTTCTTTTAGTGACTGATTCAGTATTTTTTAAAATGTGTGCTGTAAGCATTATAACAGAAGGCTTTTCATTGCTCAAATGCAACTTTTGCGTGTTCGTTTCCTCAGTTTTACGATGAACTCTGTGTAATATGGATCTTGGTTACTTGAAGCAGCTGAAAGGCAGTGTATGTACTGTATGCCAGAGCTAAAAAAAATAAAAAATAAATACAGGATAGCTCCTCCTGACAAAAGGGGGGTGGATTTTTGCCAAATAAGATCTCAAAAGTCTGTCATTGTAACGTGCTGTTTTTGTATTGCTCTGATAAAGCAGAACGTGTCTTTGAATTCATTTGCAAATGTGAATGGATATTCTAACTTTTGTCATTAATATTTCTTGCTATATGATCTTGTACCACACAATCGCAATCCTGGTTAGTTGAATGCTTGTTTTGAGCTTTGTAGGTTTCAGAATAAAACATCAGACTTGTCTTTTTCGTCTTTTTGTTGCCAGCTTTGATTAGTTTTCAAGTGGGCATTAAAAATAAGCTCATTGTCTGATTACACGTCTGTGTAATCATTGTCTGATTCCTGATGTGGAGGGAATCAACAGGAATCAGTCAACAACTTATGTTTTAAAATGTACAATTATAATGGAAAAAATAACTAAAAAAAAATAAAAGTTTATTTAAGGCTATGTTTAGGAGACACAGTAAGCTCTGTGTTCAGGAAAGGTCTGGGTCTTTAAGAGGCCGATACCATTCCGCTTCAACTGCTCGTTGTGCCGTTATTTGCAGTCAGAACAGCAGGGTCAAACCGGAAGTGCCATGATTGACTACAAATTAAGTGCATGTCTTTGTCAAAACGTTTGCCCTCAAAAAGAGTTTTGCAGATGTTGGATTTAGAACGCAAATCAGGTAACGATGCTTTACCTCGCAGCAATTAGCAGCCATATACACATATTTTAGCTGAATATTGTAATACAGGGCTACTGACTGACTTTTAGAGATGGCAAATCAGGTCAAAACAACAACCCTTAGTCCTTGGGTTTATAAAACATGGACATTAAAGGCAGCGGGAGAAATTTAATGTCACAATTCTGTTGAGCAAATACAAAAAATATCGGGGTGTTGATAATACTGTACACTGAAGAATAATTAGGGAAACAGGCGTCAGTGGTTTCTTTGAAGGACATAAATCAGTCTGATTAAGTTATCTACCTGAAATGTAAGTGACCTTAAAGTGTAGTTATTGGTTTTATTTAGTCACTTTTTCCCACTAATAAGTGTGACTATCAGAGAAACAAACTGTCTGATGTCTCTGCTTCTCCACATCTACATACAAAGAAATCCAAGGTAAACAACAAGAAGAAAGAATGTTTCAAAATGATGCAGTAAGAAAAATTACAAGCATATAATTAGATGGTATCAGTAATAAATGGCTTGGATGTAAACTTAACATACAAGTGATAAATACCTGTTTAAAACTATAGACTGTATACAAAGATGGACATAACCACTATGACATCAACCTTGGCTTTGGAATTTTGGATTTTAACTAAAAAAAAATAAATTGCCCTACTGAAGTTTGTTATGAGGGCTGAAACTGTCCAAACAGACAGAAACTGTCCAAATTGTATTTTGCAAACGTTATTTTGTAAATATACTTTTTGTGTTGTGACGCTGAACATTTTACCATAAGAGTGTATGGAATCGGACTCCATTTAGGAGCCATCTTCAAGTGACAACTACTTGTTTTTTAATTTTAATTATGTTGCACCAATTCACAACATCAGCCACCTCATGTTGTTTTGTATAGGAGAGTAAAGGCCCTACAACATTAGAAACGCTCCCCAACAATCAGAGGCTCTCCCCTATGAGCCCTGTCATATCTTGAAAATATGACAGGGTCACCATTTCCTTCAAGGAACCTCAAGGAGCGGCAGTTTTTTCTGCTTCCTCATTCAACTGTGGATGTTGCTTCCTATTTAAAACCAGTATTACAACATGCTTCACCGTCACCACAGATGATAAAGCAACTGCATAAACAGAACACCAAAAGTACACACGCTCGCCAGCATGGTGATGCCTCTGTTTATTTGAAATAAAGCACAACTACTTTGATAATAAACATTGATAATGATAATAAACATGCATATGTTAAATGTGTGAAAGATATGTGAAGTGTTATGTATCTGTTTTTCATACAGCTGTTGTGAATAGGGCGACCAGATCGCTATAAAATAAATGCAGACTAAACACAGTTTGTGCGAAATGCTAGCTCATAAGGAGGTCGAGTTATTGTTGAGGTTTTCGCTATATTAATGTAGTCATTACTTTACAATACAAAGCACCTTGAGGTAACTGTTTTTGTGATCTGGCACTATATAAATAAAAGTGGATTGAACTGGCATTAGGATAACCTTTTTCTGACTATATTAAAAAGTTTTTGCAAAAGCCAGAAATGTGCATGAACCAGTCAAAATGTGTAACATTGTCTCAAGATGTAGGACAGTGGGGCAAGGAATAAAACAAAAAACAAAAACAAAAAACGAATAAATTAAACTCGCTGTCCCACATAAAGAGGGACATCAGGTCGCCCTAATTAAGAAACGGGCGCGTTACACGAAATTAATCTTTTTTAAAACTACATTCTCAACCTCTTTACGCGACGCGATTACTTCTTTTATTGTGAAAAGCCGCGACGGAAGCCTCGTGACAGACTCCGGGTCACTTGACGTGCCAGAGAGGGCCTGCGCTGGCTTGATCCGAGAGCAGACAAACTTGCGTAGTCTTACCACGGGCTTCGGTGTCTGTCTGCCTCTCTCTCTCTATGGACGGCCAGAGGCGAGAAGAGGAAACGGGAATTGTTGTTGTCCGGACCGCAGCGCCTTATGAGAGCCCGGCGATGATTTAATCACGGAAAACCTGAGTGTGGGTGGGAAAAAAAAGAAGGAGAAAAGACGCGAGGAGAGAGGAGCAGCCAGCCGTTGGAGATGTGCGGTCGGGCCGAGATTGCGGCGGTAGGTAGTTCCAGCACGGCAGCCCCTCTCCGACGTGTTGTTTTCCCAGTTAATTTTTCTTCGCACGGAAAAGGAAAAGGAGGAGTAGGAATGAATAGAACAGCTACTGCTACCTCAGCCCCCTGTTTTTTTTTACGGGTCTAGCAGGGTATGTTTGTTGTTTTCGCCCAGCGAAATGCTAGCACACACCGGCCCCGTTTCCACGCCGTGAAAATAGCCAGACGGTTCTTGTTACAGCGTTAACCCCACTCTTCTGCCATTCGCCACCAGTTGTATTCCTAAAACTGTTTTCACAGGAAACTTTTTTTCCTGTAGGGAGTTACAGGCCTGTTGGTCTTTTTCTTTTTTTAATTGAAAAAGCAGTCTAAATAACATTAAACCCCGTTTCTCCTTTCTGTTGTATTTATCTACATCAACATGATTTCTCGTTGCACGATGGGTTTCTGATGCAGCTCTCATTTATTCACACCACTCTTAATGATACATAATGCACTCTGATGGGATTGAAAGGTTGTAGCCTAATCGTTGCTCTCAGTACTTGTACCCTTAAGTTAATAAGGTCAAAGGTATGTTTTGAAATATATTCTTTGCCCACATTTTTTGTTTAGCTTGTAAGTACGGAAGATAACGTAAAATATCTAGGAGATATATATATATTATTTGTGTGTGTATGACATGACATGAGTCATTTGTGGTTTCGGGGCTGAACATTAAAGAAGAGTTTTTAGAAATATAATTTTATAAATGGTCATTATAAAGCATTATTACTGCCTACGTTCATATTTGACATGTATCTCAACATATGGGTAGCAGTGTCTTACAGTGTGCATTTATTTATAAAGATTGGATGATAGAAACATTTACACTTCATGCAATATCGTTTAAAGCATGGCTCTTGACAGCATCAAACTCTTTGGTGCCTGCATGCAGCACTGACACACATGAAGTCCCAGAGGAATTGTTGTTTCACGGGCTTCCCCTCCCTTCTTCTCCTCCTGTAGGTATCCCTGTCTAAGCCTGTACTGAGCAGATTGTTCTGAGAGGAAACGGATAACAAACAGGGGAAGTGAACATGGCTGGGACCTCTGGCTTCTTTTCCAATGGACCTGTGCCGTGGATGGACAACGCCACAGAGATGAACAACCTGTACCGAGACCTGGAGCTGGGGACAGTACTGACACTATTTTATTCTAAGAAGTCCCAGCGGCCAGAGAGAAGGACATTTCAAGTAAAGCTGGAGACCAGGACTATTATCTGGACTCGGGGCACGGATAAAATAGAGGGCGAGAGTGAGTATTCTGTCAGTGCAAACATGCTCATACAAATATCAGCGCTCCTGATGACTGGTAAATTTGTAAGGTATATGTGCCAGAACTGGTTGGTTGGCATACAGTCAGAAATATGATGGGTGCAGCGTTTTTTTTTAAGATGCTTGAATGCCTCACAAAAGACTTGCACGATGGGCCGACATGATGGTATTGTGAACAGTTGGATAGTGTTGTCAGTTAGGATGTGATGTCACATCTAAAAGCCCCAAATAATTGAATTCATACAGCAAAGACGCAGTGAAATCTCCACTGATTTTTTATACATTACAGCTAAAAGTGCTTTAAGCGTCAAGTAACTAGTCGCTATTGGTGTAAGATATTTTAGTTGATGTCTACATTGGAACCCAAGGCAACTGATTAACCTTTAAAGATGCCAAAACCTTTGTGTTGTGAAAAATGTAAGTTGTACTGCCAGGATTAAAAATTAAAGTTACTGAGCAAATACATGAGTAGTTTAAGAGGTTGGTTGGTTTTACAAGGTTTTTACACTAAAGACAGTTTGGAGAAACTGGGATCAGTACGGTAGAAGTAAAACTGAACCGGCTGCTTTTTAAGCGCATAAATCAATCTGATAGCTAAAGTTGTATGATAGAAAGAAAACATGCAACCCCGCCTGTGTGTCGTAATATCAGTGTTTAAAGTGCTTCTTTACTGAACCACAGGTTGCTTAAATGTTCAGTTGTTTGGGATTATTTTCTTGCAATATAATATATTTATTTCTCTTGGAAAAAGCAGGTATGAATATCAGAGGAAGAAGAAATTAAATCACGTGTCAGGTACAAATAGTTGTAGGGTCGACGCAGAGAAGAAACACTGCTTCCTTGCGCTCTTTTGTTCCTTTTTAATAGGAATATTCTGTATAGTACCAGGAAGCTGGCATTCAGGTTAATCTTCAACAAAGCAGCGTGTCTAACTGAGGACGCACAGGCCTTTAGTGAGTCGTAATGTCATCTGTCTCTTGGGTAGCAGGATGCCTTGTGCACAGCTGCACTCTGCTCCGGATGCAACAAAAAGAGCACACACACACACACACACACAAAGGAGGGTAGGCTTAGTGGTGTTCTTTTCTTTTTTTGTTTTGATGTTTTTTTGTTTTGTTTTGTTTTTTTGGTAAAATCAGTATCATCTTCTTAGTGAAGGGTTTCATACGCCCATGAGCTCATAGCTGCCATTTGATACTCCTGGAGAGGTGAAATTGGCCTGAGCTGCTCATTAATGTTCAGAAATAGAATACCAGGGTTTTTACTGGAAGTGTGTAATCGTTCAGGAACGATTTGGCCCCGTGTATTTACCCCTTATCAATGGCAATGAAAGAATGATGTCCATTAACTGTGGAAACGGCAGTCTCGTATGCTTCTAAATATAAAGTGCTGAGAAGTGGACCCATTTGTTCCATCCTCTCTTAAAGTGTATTTTGTGCATTTTTTTTCACCACTCCACGTGATTTGCCTTTCAGTTTTTGCCCCGTGTTTCCAATCAGATAATTGGCTGCACTCATTTGTGGCTCGCACACTTGTATATTACTCTACAGCACACTATGATGTATGTGCGGCTTGACATAGCAGGATGTGGTCTTGCAGAATGATTGTCAGTAGACATACGTGCCTTCTGAGCGTGTCATAAATATGCAGCTTGGATACCTGGGCTTCACAGTCTGTCTTTTTAAGTGAAAAAGTTTGCTCCAGTTCTGTTAGTCACTACATGAGTGTACAGTTTGTTTTCAAAGAGACTGCTGCAACACGTCCTGCACAGCATCCTCAGTAAAACTCAGCAGTATCATGCGAATCATTTTCTAACCCCCTCGTTTAGTGTGTGACAGATACCAGGTGACATGTACATGAATCGAAATCATGTTTGAGTCATTAGGCACCATCAACTCATTTTAATATCAGAGAGCTACGGAGATGGAAAGTGAGTTCGCTGGCAAGCTTTGATGAACTCTGAGCCGCTTCTAGAGTTTTATGAATGAATACTTTTATACTCTCAACCATTTATTTGAGTTTTGTGTCCTGGTTTGAAAAACCCCCAAAACAACTTAGTTCTTGTAACCTCATAGTCATACCCTGTTATGTTTACAAGCTCTGGTTGAAGAAACTGAAATACAATTGGCAAAAAAAGGCATAAAAGCACATTATTTAACAAAAATGAAGCCAAAATGCAGAAGCAGTGTGTGAAAGACTAATGCTGCCAATCAGATGCACTTATTTGGAATAGAAGAGAGTACGTCTTTATTGTCATTGTACATGTACATCGAAACTGTGAAGGAAATATAAATAGACAATAGGACAACAGTAATAAATAACAAAGCAAGATGAAGTCACTCATTAAAAGGGCAAATTGCAAAGGACTTGGTCCGTATATATAGTCTGTATGTAAGTAGCCTGAAAGATGAGGTGCTACGTAGACAATGGCTCACATTAGTGGGGTGGTGGGCAGGTGTATGTATGGAAGACATGGTGGTGGTGGCCTTAGCTGTTTGTGAGTCTGAAATTGATCATCAGTGAGTGTGAGCATCTCTGCAAAAGCAGATGTTTCAGGAATTTACTGCTCTGGGGAATTCAGGTGTGTTAACACAGTGGCAAAGAGAAAAGACATCAGGGAAGTATATGAGGCCATTTCCAAAAAAATTAAAGTCCATCAGTCTTTAAGTGTGGATCTCCTAACAAATTCATTGCAGACCTTGCAATCCTCAGAAAACTGCAAAAAACCTAAAAGCAACATCTCGGACTGTACAGGCCTCAGTTAGCATTTTAAGTGTTAAAGTTTGTGACAGTAAAAAAAGAACAAGATGGAACAAGTATGGCTTGTTTGGAAGCCTCTTCTTAATAAAAAGAACATGACAGCACCGCTTAGGCAAAAATGCATGTGAGCAAATCACAAGACTTCCGAGGCAATGTTATTTGAACAGGTAAGACCAGACTGGAGATGTTTGGTAATAATGCAAAGCACCACCACTAGTGAAAACTAAACACAGCATGTCAGCACAAACACCCCATACCAGTTGTCAAGCATGGTGGTGGAGAGGTGATGGGTTGGGTTTGTTTTGCAGCCACAGGAGCTGGGCACCTTGCAGTCATTGAGTCAACCATGAACCATAAGTATTCTAGAGTGAAGCCATCTGTCTACAGCTAAAGCTAGGCTGAAACTGGGTCATGCAACAAAGCAGCAAATCTACAACAGAATAGTGGACAAGGCAAAGTCCAGACATCAGCCTGAGTGATATGCTGTGGTGGGACCTTAAGAGCGCTGTGCATAAATGAATGCCTGCAACGCTGTAAAGAAGCGTGGGACGAAATACCTCCACAACAATATGAGAAACTCATGAAGGCATACAGAAAATAATTACTACAAGCTATTGCTGCTATAGGCAGCTCTATATGCATTTGAATCATGTGATGTAGTTAATTTCACAGTTTCTTACTGAATTGTGGTTTATTTATTTTGTTATTCATCTGAAGTTCTATTTACCTAATTGTAAGACCTGGTAAAGACTAAATAGTAATTTATTATGTCCTGATATGAAAAATCTTTAATGTCCTTCCTTTTTGCCGTGGCGTTGGGCAACATTAATTTGCTCATCTTCAAACACAGCGTCACAGGCTAGCTGCACTGTTTAGCAGGTTATATTTAATAACATACTGTAGAAATGTTTCTGTCATCCAGTTTATCTCTGGTTGAAGAAAACCACTGTGGGTAAATTTGTTGCATCTTGATAAGCCTGGTGTGGTGTTCATTAGAAGTTCTACATCCTTTCCACTTTTGCTCAGTTGAATGTTGAGAAAATCTTCTCTAAATCTGTAAGTGTATAGTTGGACATTAAGTTTTTATGTATATTATGGACAATAATGAACAGTTTATTGCAAACATTACAGAAAAGCCCCCCCAGATTTTTGGTTTAGAATATGTAAATGTGTGTGTGTCTCTATATATATCTATCTCACATCACAGCTCAGACACTGATAAAATTAAATATAAACATTACATATTTTATTAAACACTTCTCACATGTAGTGTGAACCACGCAAGGATAAATGGTCAGCAGTAAGCATGAAATTCAACTCGTGGGCAAAGTCTTGTAGAAATGCAAGCTGCAGTGTAATATTAATTCCAGGACAAATGCATATAAACTTGCTAAGTAATGACTGACGCATCGTAAGTTTGAATATGAGACTTTTTTCCCCTTTATAAACACTACATAATGATGCCGTGCTGCAACTGCTCCTAGGTTTGGGACAAAATCGATGCTGCAGTATACCACATCCGCTTCCTCCTATGGTGTTATCAATACACTAGCAACAGAATCAATTTTTTTTATTTAACCCTGTGAGGCCTCAGTCAGTACTCTGACCCCTAAGCCTATATTATCAGAGTATGTGATTTTATTTTTTATTGTTTCATTCTTTTTAACCTTTAAAAACTGACAAGCGTCTGTCCTTTAGTTTTTCTCCAAAGCTTACAGCAACGCTAAAATGGCTATGCGAATTAAACTTCTTGCGCATCCTGCCAATCTAAATGGATTCCTTAGCTAGAGCCACAATTTCTTGACTCTTCATGTTGACATTGAGCAAATAAAAGAGGTTAAAATGAATGTTGTTAACCGGCTTGCGTTGAGGAAGAAGCAGCTCGGAAAGCGACGATGGCAGACTGCAAGAGAATCGGAGAGCTAACTGAGTGAATTTACAGACTATTCAAAAGTTGAAAAATTGTGATAATACTCACTGACAATACAGTGCACTGAATACATGGATAACTCGAGTTTTTTGGTCTTTTAGGGATATTTTTCACAGATATTTGTTTTGCACTCTACTGGATATCACTGAACTGTTGCATTGTAATGACACGAGTTACTTTCTACATCTACTGTTGCATTGATCTGCTCAATCACAGAGGGGCAGTTCACATAAATGCAGAAACGGTCAAATTCATGGCATTTGAATAAGAGCTGTAATTCTAGATGAGCACAAGAAAAGAAGCCACATCTATTTTGATAGTAATTTATGTCTTTTAACAAAAATTCCTCAAATATGTTTATAGATTTTTCTACTGTAAACATTGTTGTTTGCTTAATATGACTGCTAACTCAATATCTTTGGGCTGTGGACTCTGATCGTGACAAAATTAGATATTGAAATTTGGACTCTGGGGAAACTAGGATGGGTATTTTCCACTGCTGCCCTGAGATTTTACACTGTCATCGGGGCAATAATTGGCAGATTCATCTACAATGAAAGGATTCATTGACAACCTTTTAATTTGAATGGTGCAGGAATGTGAGGCGTGTTCAGGTGTAGACAGGATTTAGAACTGTGTTGTCGTCGTTGTTGTTATGATACGTCGGTGAGCAGTTTTGACAATAATTCAAACCACATACTGTTTTAACACGCACCACGACATTGGACGAGTTCCTTTTCAGCAGCAGTACCAATAAATGTTCTCACCTGTAGCCTGGAAATCCTTTTTTGAGAATGAAGAAGTCTTTGGGTTGTTTATGTTAAGTTACATAACCAGCGGGTGGAATTAACTTGCATACACGTGTGAAAACTGTCGTCCTTCTGATGTGCTTTTTCCATACCTCCCGCAAAGGACGTGCATACACTGTAACACCTCAGACGTGATGTCATTTCTAACTGACCCACCTTTTTTTGTGTGTGTTTGTGTTACTCGTTTAGATCTGGCCGTAGTTTATATGTAAGAACATTTTCAACAAAATACTGAGACATTAGCCCTCAGGCAGCAACGCTGTTACTTAATCAGAAACTGCTTTCAGATTGATTGTCTGTATGAAAACGTTGTAAAGAGCAGGCTGTTGCTGGAAAACAAGCAGAACTCAACAGCAGACTCGTTCCATTTAGAGATTGTTGGAAAGGGGAACTGAACCCTTTTAGCGGCTTGTCAGATGTTTGTCAGAGGAAAAGTCTTCTGCTGAAGTTGATCCCATATGCTGTCAGTGAAGCTCACATGGATCAGCTGATGTGGAAGTGTGCAGTGAAACATTGTCACAACATAGGCCGCATAGTCACTTGGAAATGTTCAGGGGTTTTTTTTCTTGCTTTAGAATGGATGGTGCATATAAACACGATTGATCTGCTTAATAGTTAAAAAGATGAATCTGGGGCTTACCTCACAGATTTATTTCTGGCTATTTAAGGTTAAAAATATAAAATATGCAGTCCAGGTAATTTGTGGATGTGCCCCATATGCAAGAAAGATCCTACAGTGTCAAGTTCATATTGCATACCCATATGTTTTTATTTATTCTATAGTCATCTTTATATTTTCTCACTTAGAATATTTAGCAAAATAATTGCTTAATGGTCCTTTGCTGACATTGTGAACATGATTATCAGTCAAAACTCTTAAGTCTGCGTGGCCGAGTGTGACGTTTTCAGTTGCCATGAAATTCTAAGCGAATTGTGAACGTATTGACTTTTGACACCACCGTGGTTCAGTTGTAAACACTGCAAGAAGGTGTGCAATTTGAACCCATGCAGAGTTGAAAAATATGGGCTACCTGGGAAAAGGACACTGTCACAGAAGCGATTCTTAATCTCAAGATTTTGAGTCGCTGGTTGAATGCAGTTCAGTAATAATCATGCTTATGTCTTTACCCATCCAATCCAATATTTTAGGCTTTATAGCAACACTAAAGCTGACAGTTACTTTTGATTTGTTTTATTTGTGATATTCTTTCTTTTAATTTTCTTAGTAAATGTATGTGAAATGTCAGAAAGTTGGGCCTTCTTCCTATATTTTATTTTTGGTTCACAGTATTTTCAGTTGTATAAAAATGGAAAAGAAGAACATCCTGACATTGTGTGTGAAACAGTAGAAGTTTGACATTTTAGATGAAAAACAGAAATGTTCTTTTTGATCGTTTGCTTTTTCACAATATCATAACATTGGCTTATTTAAAGTAAAACAACAACAACAACAAACAAAAAGGAAATTGGGGGAAGGGGATAAACTTTACATTGGCCAAAGTTTAAACATCAGGCTGTCATATTTTTACTGACAATACTTTTGCTTGGGTATGAAAAATGTTGGAAGACAGGGCACAGCACAGAAGGAAGTGTGGTAGTGTTTTGCAGGATACCTCCTCTCATCTCTTTTGGTAAGGTTACACCTCTGGCTATCTCTTTCTTTCCTGCATCTGTCTGAGGCAAGCTCCAAATATTTTGACACAAATGACTAAAAGTGTTGTCTAACAGATCAGCCTGTCAGAAGTGCTTCAGTCTAAACGGAAGTCTGCTGGCCCGTGTGGCGGGTTAAGTAAACGGAGATATGATATATGATTAGAGCACAGTTTGGTGAAATTCTGTGAGAAGACATTTTTATGCTTGAGAAAAGAACATGCACATGCTCACCTATACGCAAGCACAGATGTGGTGTGTAGGCGACAAAGGCACAGGATGTGTGGTTCAGGGGCAGGAAGAGGAGCAGGAGCTGAAAGAAGTGTGTGTCTGTGTGTGTGTGTGTGTGTGCTTAGTAAGAGAGTCCCTGCTGTAGGTCTTGAACTGCAGTTAATGTAACACTGATAGGAACCCGCTGTGCTACTTTGCAGCCCACACACTTGTAAAGTTTCTCAATGATTGTTTATGGAGTTGAGATAAAATTATATCTGGTCTTTTTTTTTTTTTTCCTCATTTGTCATGTCTACAGATAAACCGTGAAGCCGTTGTGTGAAAACGTTAGCATGATCATATATTGTTTAAATGTTTAAACACGCACACTTAACAGCCTGCACTTACGAGCACAGGTAGGTACATACTGTGATATATTTGTCATGTATATTTATATTTGAAATCTCAATCATTTAGACCTGACCAGTAGCTTCTAAAAAAAACAACCCAAACAACAACAAAAAAACTGCCCTCTCCCCATTGCTTACTAATTGGTGGTTTTTGATCTATACTTGAATGTGGTTTGGGTCACCGCCTCAGCTTCATTGTTTTATGTGGTCAGAGGGGCTGCAGGTACTTGCACAATGTTTTTATTTTTTGTATGTTAGACTGTTAGGGTTAGTACTGAAGTGTTTCATGTTTCCTACATGAAATGGAATTAGAAAACAAGGAGAGCTTGGAGCTAAGTCTGCAGTTTTGTGCCAGATACTGTTATTTTGATTATTAACATATCATTGCATATAAGTTTTGCGCACCATATTCACACCAGAATATTACCGTGTCATGTGTTGGGAACCTGCAGCTTTGTGTTTTGCTAACTATTACATATCTGTCTGTATCTACAGTTGATATTCGAGAAATCAAGGAGATCCGTTCTGGACAGAAATCTCGGGACTTTGATCGCTATGTGGAGGACTCTGCAGCACGGCTCGATCAGGCCCACTGCTTTGTTATTCTGTACGGCACAGAGTTTCGCCTTAAATCACTCAGCCTGGCAGGTATGCTCAGAGAAGGACTGCTTACACATTGACAAGAAGTAGCCTGTTACCATTGTACCTCAATAAGATCATTAGTACCATTGATAAATCAAATCTTCACATTTTGTTTGTTGATAGGCTTCTTGTATTTTTAGCCTGTGACAGAATTGAGTTATTTAGGTCAGCTGTTTTTGCTACAGCAACATCTGATGAAGAGATGACCATGTGGGTGCAAGGGTTAACCTCGCTTGTGACTGACACATTGAAGTCTCCAACACCTCTTCAGATCGAGCGGTAAATCTGAACTCAAAGTTTGTGTAAATAGACGGCATTATCTGTTTTCTGTATGCAAGAAATCGCTTAAGTCTTTCTTTCTTTTCCTTAATTTTAAGGTGGTTACGTAAGCAGTTCTACGCAGTCGATCGCAACAGAGAAGACAGGTAACTAAACTCGGTCAAAGGATATCAGCTGCAGAGTTAATCAGATCGCCCTCACAAGAAATGGATGTTATAAGATGTAACTCAATTGTTTGCTACACCAGTTGTGTGCCCTTTCATCTAAGAGCACATAGACTTGCTGCAACTGGCTGGTAGGTGTCTTTGAGAGAGCTCAGTTGAGGTGTAGTAAGGGAACTAACCCCTCAGCCGCACACCAACAACTCTTCCTGCAGCAGGAAACAGACTGCAGAGAATGGAGAGGAGATGTACAGAGATGTTTGTCTGTTACATCCCTGACAGGCCTTTGTTACTGTGTGTGCGCCGTGTATTGTCGTTTCTGGCCAAAATTCCAAGCTGTGTAGCAGAAGTGAAGCCCAAACCACTCAACAGAACATGCAGGGTGTCTGTTTACAAGGTTTCAGCCCATCTGTAAACTCAAAATGGCATTTCTGCCTCACAATAGTATCTACAAGTAGAAGTGTTTGCACATGTTGCACATGCTTATCCGTGTTTGTTTTATTTTTCAACAAAACGTGTTTAGGATATCCTGTAAGGATCTGAAGAGCATGCTGAGCCAGGTCAACTACAGGGTGCCCAACATGAGGTTCCTCCGAGAGAAACTTCCGGTAACCTCTTGCTGCTTACTTTTCTTATCACAAACCTCCTTCCCACTCCATCTCCCCGCCAACTTCCCTTTCACGATGATGTTGTTTGAGGCTAAAGATTTATGATTTGCCGTTAACAGTCATTTCAGTTTTCTTTCTGATTCTCTGCTTCTTTTATAGGACTCGGAGATGAGGAATGGAGACGTGTCCTTCAGCCAGTTTGCGCAGCTTTATCGTAGTCTCATGTTTGATGCCCAGAAAAACGTAAGTGCAGTCTTTTTATGTATCCACAGATAGTCCCTGTGCTTTCATCCCCCTAGCACCCCATCTGATGCTCTGCCAAGGCTCACTTCATCTCCCATCTGTCCGTCCTCAAATGGCTTCAAGATCAATATGCACCAGCTAAAAACCCACCAAACCTCTCTGGTGGAAGCCATTAGGACACACAAACACACACACACAGATAAGAAGGCAGGCAAGCAGGGGTCAGATAAAATGGATAACCTCAGTGCCCTCCCCCACCTCACAGGATGTCTAACACTGAAAGTGCAGCGCTTTGATTAATTACTTTAACTGTTTTTTGTCTCTTTACTATCTTTTAGATGGAAATCCCATTTCTTCAAAGGTAGGCATACAAAACGCACACACATACAGTGATGTTTTCTCTTGCATCACGGTTGTTTGCTGAAATTAACCAGTACTTTTTCTATCAGGTTCATTGATAGACCAGAACAGAGGATTTCCCTGGAGGACTTCAAGAGCTTCCTCTTGGAGTCTCAAAAGGTATTCTCTCGGTTGTTGGACATTTACATACTTTATTGCCGATTTGTTTTCTTTCCATGCTCTAATGCATGTTTGTGTTTGCTGTTGCAGGAGATGTGGGCCACAGATAACAACAAAGTGCAAGAGTTTATGTTCGGCTACCTGAAAGACCCCCTGAGGGAAGTGGAGCAGCCTTATTTCCAGCAAGACGAGGTATGCGCACCTCGATGCCTCACTCTTTCTTTTCCCCCCTTTTCTCACTTGTGTTCTTGTGTTTTTTTTCTGGGTCTTCGCTCACTAACGGAAAAATGTACCATGTTTTCATAGGTTATGTTTTCCGATTTCCCCCCTGTGTTGTTAGTGTGGGAGGGAGATGCTCAGAAATTAACATGACTGGCCATGATCTTGGCCCTGAAGCACCTCCTCCTACACAGATATAAAAGGTTATTGAGTATAGTGCGGCATGACAGTTCTGCAGAAAGCGAAGGATGATTTTTGTGGTCACCGTAAATCATGAATAAAAGAGGAAAGTGGGACAAGCGAGCCTGCAGAGGATGTTAGGTCACTGGTGCCCAGGCCTTGATTATGTGCAAAGAAAAGCCCATGAATAGTTAAAAAAAATAGATACTTTATTTTAAATATTATCACTACATGGAAATTATTATAGTTGAAGTTTAATGGGAATCTGATATGTACAAATCCTACTCTAATGTGATGTTTTTGTTTGCTGATTATGGAATCCAATGTCATTATGTGTTTAATACACAAGTTAAATCTAAGAATCTGGATTAAGCAATTATGACAATAATTATGACATTTTGAACCCCACATGTTCCCCAGATGTTCCATCTCAGTTTTTCTTAGTTTTTGTAATTTATTCATGTTGGCAGTTGTGCATGGTCAGTGATTTAACAGTGTTTTTTTTTTTTTGAAGCATTCATATTATTTTGACATGAAACATTTATCTTAGTACTTTATCTTGTAATTTCCTACTTGTTAGCATGTGTACAAGTTGACTGCCCTGTGGTTTAGAGCAGCGGTCCCCAACCCCCGGGCCTCGGACCGGTACCGGTCCGTGAGTCGTTTGGTACCGGGCCGCGAGAGTAGAGGCTCAGGTGTGAAATGTATAGTTTTCAGGGTTTTTTGTTATCGTTTTTATCGTTAACTCGGTTTTCCTGGGTCTTTTCACGTGTGTTATGAATAAATCTTCTTTGTTTTCGGTACCGGTACTACTTTTATTTTGTTGTATTTATCCGCGACACCTTAAAGGCCGGTCCGTGAAAATATTGTCGGGCATAAACCGGTCCGTGGCGCAAAAAAGGTTGGAGACCGTTGGTTTAGAGCATTTGTGTTGTTTAAGCATTAGGAAATGTGCCAGAAAAATGTATATTTGCAAGGTGTACCTGCTTACAGGATAGATGGGATCATGCAGTGAAATGTTTAGGTTTTGTATTTGTTTTGTTTTTTTACTTTATATCTTGGAATTTAGAATTATATTGAAACCAAGATAGACCTTTTCACCAGTAACATAAAAATAACAATAATTTTGGTGGAAACACAAACTCAACAGTTCTCACAGTCCAAAGGCTGGATCAGAACTTGGCAGTTCGCCTCTCCTTGGGGGCTCTAGTGCATGCCTGTGCATACAAACAGGTGTTGAGCCACTTCTTAAATGCCTTAAGCAACGGTGCCCTGATTCCTGAGTATTTAGGTCAGATGTTTTTAAGAATCTGATCATTATCATTTCAGTGCCACGTCGGTATATTGCTAGGGTCTGCAATTCTTCCCACTTTTCACTGCTCCTCATTCTCTCTTGTGTAGTTCCTCACATACCTGTTCTCCAAAGAGAACACCATCTGGGATTCCTCCCTGGACCAAGTGTGTCCTGAGAATATGAACAACCCCCTGTCTCACTACTGGATCTCCTCTTCGCACAACACGTAAGCATGAAGGGCATTTATGCATGTGTCTGGTTTGCCTGCTTTAATTGGGCCCTGGGAATGCTGGAGTTCTTGAAACCTCTGCCCAAAAAGAGGTCTTTTGAACTGGCTTCACACATCAGATAAAAGCGTATTATTTAACAATCTCTTTCCCGAATGAGATCCAGGCGTTTATTTTGCAGGAAAATGTATTTTTCCTCCCATTGAAAAGTGTGTGAAAGTCGGCGCAAGTAATTCTGTACTAAATGTGAAACAATGCTCATTGGAGCAACGGAATGAAAGTTTCCCATGTTGCTTTGATTAGGCTTGAATTGACTGACTGAATGAGTAAGAAGTATTTATCCGGTCAACAGAGGAGAACGAGCCCTTTTGATATGACTGTATTGATTTATTTATGTAATCACCATAAAAAGTGTGTTCGTGTGTTAAGACACTCCCTGACATGTTAATCCTGTGTGGCTGTGTGTTTTGTGTACGTACTTGACAATGTGTGCTTATTTTTAGCTACCTGACAGGAGACCAGTTTTCCAGTGAATCGTCCTTGGAGGCATACGCACGCTGTCTGAGGATGGGCTGTCGCTGTATTGAATGTAGGAACACACACACACACACACACACACACACACACACACACACACACACACACTGGAAGGTGTACGGTTTACCCACGAGTAGTAAATCACCACTGCTTGACTTTTAACCAACTAATTAACTTTTACCCACTTTCTTATCCTTCACAGCTCGACTTTTAAGCCCAGCTAATACACCCTTAACCAGGTCCTCACATGCAAATACTTATGCAACCGTTCCCGATATTGCTTTTCAGCAAACCCTTGTCAGGCAGGTTTCTATAAATAAGACTTGTTTGTTGTAGATCTTGTTTGCCTTGAAACATACAGATCCTGCAATTGTCTCGTCACTCACACACATCTGTTGTTTTTCTTTATCCTTAAAGGATAAAAGATAAAATGATGTTACATGCATGTGTCTATGTTTTTTTTTTTTTTCTTCAGTGGACTGCTGGGATGGCCCTGAGGGAATGCCAGTCATCTACCATGGGCACACCCTTACAACCAAAATCAAGTTTTCTGATGTCTTGACCACCATCAAAGAGCACGCCTTTGTCACATCTGAGTGAGTGTGCATGACAACGCGCTATTCTTGTTTTGTTTTGTTTTCTTCTCTTTTTATGACTGTCAGTGGGGATGTGGTGATTAACAAGCTAAGAGATGGTGACGATAAAGAGATGACGGGCACACACTAATGTAGAAACACTGTAGGCAGGCCACAGTGACATCACTGTGAGAAAATAAAAGTCACATCAGAACAAAGTTAAACAAGGGGTTTCCTTGGATTTGCCACTCCTCTGAGGTTGAATCGGTGGTCCCTTTTACAGATATCCCATCATCCTGTCCATAGAGGACCACTGTAGTATTGTGCAGCAGAGGAATATGGCCACTCACTTTAAGAAGGTGTTTGGAGACATGCTTCTAACCAAGGCAGTGGATATCGCAGCAGATGGGCTGCCCTCACCCAATCAGCTCAAGAGGAAGATCCTCATCAAGGTCAGAGCCTCTTGGAGTCATGAGAAATCTTTTGATTTTTGGGGGGTGGGGATTAGTAACCTTACTCTGTCTGTCCTTCTCCTCTTATCTGATGCAGCATAAGAAGCTCGCAGAAGGCAGTGCCTATGAGGAGGTGTCCACCACCACTCCCTACTCAGAGAATGATATCAGCAACTCCATTAAAAATGGCATCCTGTACCTGGAAGATCCCATTAACCATGTAAGCATGTTCAGTGTATAAATAGTTTTTGAATCCTGCACGAGAAAGAATTTTTGGGCAGAAATGGTCAGAAAAGAAAAACTAGCTTCTGTAGCACATATGCTTTATGTGGTGTTTATCAGTAAAAACATGAAAAATCAAGTTAAGACAAATTATGTTGCAGTCTTCCTTTATCATCTCTTACACTTACAATTATATCTCAGACATGCTTTATCAGCATTTTTTCCTTGGGATATCAAGTTCTTATTCTGTATCATCTTGTGCCACTTTGCACTGTAACACATGGATCTTGTAAATATTTGATCCAGCTATTTGAACTAACAATCTGTCTCATTTCTCTCCCTTCATCCCAGGAGTGGTACCCTCATTTTTTTGTTCTGACCAGCAGTAAGATCTACTACTCAGAAGAGACCTCCAGTAACCCGGGAAACGATGATGAGGAGGAGCACAGAGAGGTTAGTAGGTCTGACCTGCTGCTGAAGTACAGAAATTATTTTTGAGCGTGAACATTTGTTCGCATTGTTCGGAATTTGATGCAATTTTAATATTTAGAGGTCTGTGGGAGGCTCTTATTTAGAGATAAAGTATGTAGATACACATAAAGTGAACACATCTTGAATCTTCCCAGGTGTCCTATGGTATGGATCAACATGTGACAGAGAAATGGTTTCATGGAAAGCTTGGTGCTGGGCGGGATGGACGGCAGATAGCCGAGAGGCTGCTGTCTGAGTACTGCCTGGAGACTGGAGCTCCTGATGGCTCCTTCCTAGTTCGGGAGAGCGAGACTTTTGTCGGAGACTACACCTTGTCTTTCTGGTAAGTACACATATTTTGTATTTAAAAAAACATCTATTGGATTTCAGGGTGGAAACGGTAATTTAGGGGAAATCACTTTTAAGTATAGGAAACTTTAACTTGTATGTAGAAAACTAGCACGTGCCACTAAAATATAACCAAATTTAAGTGTCGCACTGGCAGATCAGTCACAGTGTGGCGTGTGATCTGTCTGATATTATGAGCTCTTTGTGAAAGGAGGGCAGGACAGATCAGTCTCTGTTATTTACCTGCAAGCTATGGGAACAATGTAGAGATGGTATCACAAGGCAGTTTGTTAAAGATGAACAAGAGTTCACGTGTTCTTAACTTGTTTATCAAACTGGAAGAAAAACTGACCTTTCATTGTATCTCTCTCTATCTCTCTCTCTCTCTCTCTCTCTCCATGCCTCCCATCTCTGCAACAGGCGCTCGGGGCGGGTGCAGCACTGTCGCATCCACTCTCGTCAGGAGGCAGGCAGCCCAAAGTTCTACCTGACTGACAACCTGGTATTTGACACGCTCTTTGCTCTGATTACCCACTACCAGCAGGTGGCGCTGCGCTGTAACGAATTTGAGATGAAGCTGACTGAGCCGGTACCTCAGACCAATGCTCACGAGAGCAAAGAGTGAGTACACATATGCATTTTCAAAGATTACTGAGAAAGTGCTGAATTTATTACGTGATGTGCATCATATTTTTGTTTTTGTTTGTCGCAGGTGGTACCACGCCAACCTCTCCAGGAGCCATGCAGAGAACATGTTGATGAGGGTTCCTCGCGATGGGGCTTTTCTAGTCAGGAAAAGGGCAGAGCCCAACTCCTTTGCCATTTCATTCAGGTAACTTAGTTGCCAGTTTAAATCTTAGATGATCAGCATATTGAGTGTACATGCACATAAATGCCTTGTATCATTGTTATTTAGCAGAGTTCTCTCTTTGGGTTTCTTCACAGAGCCGAGGGTAAAATAAAGCACTGTCGTGTGCAGCAGGAGGGTCAGACCGTGGTGCTGGGCACCTCAGAGTTTGACAGCCTTGTAGATCTTATTAGCTACTATGAGAAGCACCCTTTGTACCGTAAAATGAAACTACGCTATCCCATCAACGAGGACACACTGGAGAAGATAGGCACTGCTGTAAGTACCACATTATACAGTCTACAAAGGAAACGTCTGGCCAGTGAAAAATGCTGTATTGTTTCATGGCATTATGCTAGTTTCATTCTGTGGTGAAATCACCACCAGCCTAGCAAAAAGAAAAACAAACTCATAATGTATTGCCCAATAGGAGCCAGACTACGGGTCACTGTATGAGGGAAGGAATCCAGGCTTTTATGTGGAGGCTAATCAAATGCCAACATTTAAGGTAAGAGTGCAGGATGGAGAAATCGACAGTTAGCTGAGATCTGCAACATCAACACTTGGACATGTAAACATGACGTAACCTTGTGTGCTGTCTTTCAGTGCACGGTGCGAGCCATGTATGAGTATAAAGCCCAGAGAGACGATGAGCTTTCCTTCACTAAGAATGCTATCATCTCTAATGTGGAAAAACAGGAAGGGGGATGGTAAGTGAGTGGCATCAAATCCATTCAGGAAGTAGCTCTTAATTATTAATTTAGACTGCAAATACGTGCTTAGCATTAGAGAACTACGGTAAATTAGTGAATGACACATTTAAAATTCTCTTAGCTGTCCTGGGATCATTTTCTAAATATGAAAGGCTTCTAAATATTTACAAACCACATCCCTTGTCTCTTTACCCCTCCCGCCTCTTCTTCTTTCAGGTGGAAGGGTGACTGTGGAGGAAAGAAGCAGATGTGGTTTCCGGCAAACTACGTGGAGGAGATCAGTCCGTCAGCAGCCGAGCCTGATAGAACTGTGAGGATCAAACCCTTAAAACAAGATGCTTACTCAAGCACATTTTTTTGTATTTATTTAAAGAGAAATGAGTACACCTGCTCCCACCACAGTGAGGTCATTCATGTCTTCATTTACAAAGATACATATGTGCTCTGTTTTCTGTCAACAGGAGATGACAGAAAACAGTCCTCTTGGAGATATGCTGAGAGGAAGTCTTGATGTGTCTGCCTGTCAGATTAGTAAGTAGCACCTTCGCTTCCTGTAGCAAGTCACCTTGAGAGCAGTAAACCCCTACTAACTGCTTTTAAAAATAAATTTAATTGTAGGACACAGTCATCACTAGGGCTGGGCAAAATGATTATTTTCCTAATCGATGAATCTACCGATTAATTTTTCAATCCGATTCTGTTTTGATTTGATTTGATTATCGATTATTTCCGCATTATTTGACTTGTATAGCAATTTCACATTTACTAATTTATGTATCTCAATGAAAACACAAATTTCTTCATTTCAACACCTTTTAATAAAAAAATTGCAAAATAAAGTTGTAGTAGTACAATCTTATATTAGAGATAGCATTTAACAAGAAATGAAATGTGCAAAGTGCATAGCCGTCGTGCTTCCTTTTCTGTTAAAATATCCCCATACTGTAGAACTGCGTGTTCGGGTGGAATGATTTAAGTCGACTGCGGCTGCCTCACTCGTGTTGCCGCTACTCACTGCCGCCATGTCTGTTTTGAAAGTGACGACGCGTCGGCGTAATCGATTACGTCGACACGTCGCCCCGGCCCTAGTCATCACTCTCTTTATTGTTATTTTTCTCCATTATCAGCCTCTTAGTTTAATAAGTCTTCTCTGTTTTTATTATTACTGTTGCTTTTCTCTCCGATTTGCATTTGATATGTTATTGACATCCTGCAGCCTTGTCAGTACACCCCTATTAGGTCTGGCACATGCTGCCTTGCATTGTTAACCTGAGTCCGTTTGTCCATCTGGGTGGCTCGTTGGCACCATCTAGTGGTAGTATGAAAGATGAGCTAAAAATGCTCAGAAAGTAATTGCATTCATTTACAAAAACATGAATGTTTTAATTAAAAAAAAACCCAACTATATTCTAAAAGGGATTATTTGGTTTTATATAATCCTTTCATTCTTTAAAAATAACTCCTTGCTGAATGTTATCACTTATTGTCTAATACTGGATGATACAGATGGTTTACAATAATTGCTATGGATTTGTCATCTTGGGCTCTTCTCAGGTGGTTCTTCTCCACCATGTTTTCTTCCTTTGCTTATGGTCTGTTAGTCTAGTATGTCCATGATTTCAGCACCAGCCTCATTTATTTACTTTTTTAAAACCGTCATTACTTCCATTTATTGGTTCCCTTTTTCTAACTTTTTTCTTTTTTTTTCTCTTCAGATGTTCGTACCGAAGGGAAAGGCAGCAGGCCTTATGTTTTCACCCTGACACAGAATACCCCTGTGCGGATAGGCATACCGCTCGACATCGCTGCAAACACGCAAGAAGAGCTCAAGGAATGGGTGTTCAAGATCCGTGAGGTCACCTTGACCTCAGAGGCCAAGGTAAATATACAGAAATAATATGCTTCACATGAAATGCACTCACACTTTGGGTTTAAGCTGAGCAGTGATGTGCCTCACTGTTGGTACTACTATATTTATACTTGTGCCATGTCTGTGGCCAGATAGAAGAGGGGAAGATGATGGAAAGGAGGAAGAAGATTGCACTGGAATTATCTGACCTTGTCATCTACTGTAGGCCTGTGCCATTTGATGAAGAAAGTAAGAACTATGTGCACTCACTCACCTGCACACATAATAAAAAGAAAAACACCAAATGCAGATGGGGTCACATTTCTCTTTTGTCGTCGCTTTTTTTTTTTTTTTTTAGAGATTGGCACAGAGCGAGCCTGTTTCCGGGACATGTCATCCTTCCCTGAAACCAAGGCAGAGAAATACGTCAACAAAATCAAGGGGAAGAAGTTCCTGCAGTACAATCGGCTGCAGCTGTCCAGGATCTACCCCAGAGGCCAGAGATTGGACTCTTCTAACTATGACCCGCTCCCCATGTGGCTCTGCGGATCTCAGCTGGTAGCACTTAACTTCCAGACAGGAGGTATCTTCTCTTCCCTTCTGAGAGCAAAGCTGGAAGACAGACAGTACATTTCATTTGTTTACGTGTTTTTTACATTTTTTTCCTTCTATTCCTTCCTCTTTCCCTCCCTGCAGACAAGCCCATGCAGATGAACCAGGCCCTGTTCATGCTGAACGGAAGAAGTGGCTACGTCCTTCAGCCGCCCATCATGAGGGACGACAACTTTGATCCCTTTGACAGACAAACACTACGGGGTGTGGAGCAAGTCAGTCTAGAGATTGAGGTACAGTAGACTGAGGACTGGATTTTTCTGCTTTCGGGTGTGATGCAGTTGTGCAGAAACGAGTCTGCCCTTCATCTCTTTGGGATAAATGAAGCGGGTGGTGGTTATGGAGACAGACAAGGTGAAACTGACAGGTGGTGTTTTGTTAACAGTGTGATTGTAGTTGCCCACTGGAGCAGCAGCAGTGATTGTAACACAGCTCGGAGAGGTAACCGAGGTACTTTACAAAACCTAGCAACCAATTGCTGCAATTTACATGTAAATACATTCCCCTTTAGTTGCAGATGTAATAATATTTTTTGATTAAAGGTAACTCACTTTTCATAAATTATGAATAAACATTCATGAACTTGTTTAGAAATCAAGTCAGGAAGCTCATTGTTGTTTCTTCACTGTGAGACTCACTGACTGCTTCCAATGGTGTACTGCAAACACTGCTCATAGTCATGCTTTTAATTACACATGTTTAAAGGAGGAGTTCAACCTGTAGTTCAAACACTCAGTTAGCAATTGAGCAGAAAAACACATTATAAGATGTCACTGATGGAAAAGCATTGTGTGTTTGTGTGTAGCAACATGTTAATGTAAACAAAAATTCCAAAGACGTAATCGCTTTTTGTCCTCTGAAGGTCTTGGGCTCCCGGCATCTGCCCAAGCATGGACGTGGCATCGTTTGCCCTCTGATTGAGATCGAGGTGTGCGGAGCGGAGTACGACAGCGCCAAGCAAAAAACAGACTCTGAAGGTGAAGCTGCTCTTATTTAAACACGAGTTCCTCTGCCAGTAAAGACAGGCCCTGCCAAAACTGGGGAGGAAGAAAAAAAAAAAAGCAGTTGCTGTTTACTGGATATATTTTCCTCGTGTAATTTCCTGTATGGTCTGAGGAAAAACAGGAAGTTATACAAACAACTGTGCCATGTGTGGGAATACAAAGGGAAAACATTGAAACTCGCACAGCTCTCATCAGGTCGTTATGACAGAAGAAACACTTTTTTTTTTTTAATGTTTTGATGGTTTAATGCATAGATTTTGTTTGCTACATACTTTGATGTGGATACTGGGAAATTTTACTGCAACCTATACTTTATTCTCTAAAATTCCCATCAGTGAGTAAGGACAGGATTTACTTTAGTACAAATTTAAGAAATGTAATCTATACTTATAACGACTTTTTTTTCAGTATATTACTAAAAAGTGGTATATCGGAATATTGTACTGTGGGCTCTAGCAGCATTTGTTCCCATTTATATTTATTTGCCTGTACTGGTTGTACACACACTTTTTAAATGTCAATCATTTTATCAGTGAAGTTCATCACCCCTTTGAATTTGGCACTTATTCAAAACTAGGTCATCAGATAACTTCTGTTACTTTAGATGGCAGATTCTGATGTAAGCCCAGCTCATATTTATCTTTTAAATATAAATACATAAACATAAACTCAAAATTTTAACACATTTGGCATTTCCTTCTGCTGTTTTTTCCTCACTGCTCTCTGGTTCTACAGAAAGGGCAGCGAGCCAAGGAAAAATAATTTTCTGTTAATGACATACTCTCTTTTTTTTTTTTTTTTTTTTGTCCTGGAAAGGGTTTTATTTCCGTGTAATGTAGAGGTGCAACCTTTATCTAGCAGCTAATTACAGAAGTCTTTATACTGCTGTTACAAGGGAAATATAATTGCACAAATGTTAGAGAATTGAGAATACACCCTTTACATTTTCAATATTTCTTTTCTTCTGTAGCTGATAATGGTCTCAATCCCACTTGGCCGAGAAAGACATTCCAGTTCACCGTGTGCAACTCTGCTTTTGCCTTTCTGCGTTTTGTGGTGTATGAGATCGACATGTTCAACGACCAAAACTTCCTGGCTCAGGCTACGTTCCCCATTCATGGGCTAAAGACAGGTACGCCTTCAACATGTCTGTAAATAGTTTTTACATGTTTTGTTGCTGACTTTAAGTATCTCGGGGTCTTGTTTGAGGTGAGGGGTGAGTAGAGCGGGGGATTGAGTGTAAAAGTGAGTTTTACCAGTCGATCTACATTTATCTGCTCACTTACAGGCATGAGCTTTGGTAGTGACCAATGCAAGCACTGGAAATTAGCTTCTTCTATACAGGGAGTGCAGAATTATTAGGCAAATGAGTATTTTGTCCACATCATCCTCTTCATGCATGTTGTCTTACTCCAAGCTGTATAGGCTCGAAAGCCTACTACCAATTAAGCATATTAGGTGATGTGCATCTCTGTAATCAGAAGGGGTGTGGTCCAATGACATCAACACCCTATATCAGGTGTGCATAATCCGGGCTCTAGACTAACTTTTTGCCATGGGCGTGCCGGCACGCCTAACTTTAAAAAGTTAGGCGTGCCGGCACAAAAGTTAGGCGCACACAAATTTTATAATAATTGATATAATATAATATGTTTTTCTGGATACACTGTGCTTTTTCAGCATTCAAAGATTGATGACACCGTGTCAGAGCACTGGCTATGAATTTCAGAAGGATCATGCCTTAACAGAAAAGTTAGCAATAGTTCTTTTCCTATTACAGCTACATCCACTTCTGTCGTGCCTAGGCTGCTCACTAGGGCTGGGTATCATCACTGATTTCTATAATCCCTTCAATTCCGGTTTTCAAAGTCCCGATTCGATTCAACTTAGCCTCAGACAGTCAGAAATATTATAATTCTGATCATTTATCAGTACTGACTTCATCAGAATTGTGAGCATCACAGCAGATGCCTTTGTGTGAAACTGAGAATAAAACACAGAAAAACATGAAGGAGATTTTCCTGGTCTGGCTTTTTATAGCAGATAACCTTAAAAATATTCTACAATGTTCTGCATATAAAGTTTAAATTTCTTCAGTATTGAACAACAGAAAAAATAGGCTTTCTTGTCCGAGGTCATTTAAGTGAAAAAAAAGAAAAGAAAAAGACAGCAGCCGACAGCGCTGTAAACAACGGTAGACTGGTGGGCAATAAGCGAATGAATAAAACAGAAAACAGAGATTGGAGACGGGAAACTGTTCTTGAAGTACAGAGAGAGATAGAGAGAGAGCTAGCTGTGCATGAAGTGTGATTTTAATAGTCGTGGAAGCAAAACAGCAAAATTCATGATGACACTGACCAAATGTGAAGCGCAGTTTGCTGCTTCTTTTGCTGCTGGCTCGGTGAATTTTGGTTCAGCGCAAAAAGACGTAAACACAGCGCGGACCGGACGCATCAGGATCGCTAAGCTCCGACAGCGTGTCCGTCTACGGGCCGTCAGGTGAGAAAGCCGAGAAAGGCAAAGTTGATTCTGATGCGTCGGTCCATTCTGTGTTTACGTCTGTGTGTGGAGTGCGTGTACCTGCTCTCATCTGCTGTTTGGTTGTTGTTGAAATGGTTTTGTGAGCTTTAATCTGAGAATCTGGCGTTTATGACAAAACACAGTTATATTTAAAAGTCGATTCAGGATTTAATTAATTGATATCGCTTTATTCAAGCTACTCACCTCCATCTATCCACCTGCACTTTCAACTGGACCACGGCCAATCAGAGAGGTCCCGCCCCTTACTATCTCTGATTGGTTTAGTCCACGATAGGGGCATAATGTGTGTCTGTTGTTGACCACAGGGAAGGTTGCAGATTTTTTTTTTTTTTTTTTTTTTTTTTTTTTTTTTTTTTTTTTTTTTTGCTACCCGAACAGTTGGTCGCACAGGTGCAACCAAATTAATTTTTTTTAGCCGCACCACTGAAAAATTTGGTCGCATTTGCGACCAAATTGGTCGCACTCTAGAGCCCTGATAATTATTAGGCAACGTCCTTTCCTTTGGCAAAATGGGTCAAAAGAAGGACTTGACAGGCTCAGAAAAGTCAAAAATAGTGAGATATCTTGCAGAGGGATGCAGCAGTCTCAAAATTGCAAAGCTTCTGAAGCGTGATCATCGAACAATCAAGCGTTTCATTCAAAATAGTCAACAGGGTCGCAAGAAGCGTGTGGAAAAACCAAGGCGCAAAATAACTGCCCATGAACTGAGAAAAGTCAAGCGTGCAGCTGCCAAGATGCCACTTGCCACCAGTTTGGCCATATTTCAGAGCTGCAACATCACTGGAGTGCCCAAAAGCACAAGGTGTGCAATACTCAGAGACATGGCCAAGGTAAGAAAGGCTGAAAGACGACCACCACTGAACAAGACATACAAGCTAAAACGTCAAGACTGGGCCAATAAATATCTCAAGACTGGTTTTTCTAAGGTTTTATGGACTGATGAAATGAGAGTGAGTCTTGATGGGCCAGATGGATGGGCCCGTGGCTGGATTGGTAAAGGGCAGAGAGCTCCAGTCCGACTCAGACGCCAGCAAGGTGGAGGTGGAGTACTGGTTTGGGCTGGTATCATCAAAGATGAGCTTGTGGGGCCTTTTCGGGTTGAGGATGGAGTCAAGCTCAACTCCCAGTCCTACTGCCAGTTTCTGCAAGACACCTTCTTCAAGCAGTGGTACAGGAAGAAGTCTGCATCCTTCAAGAAAAACATGATTTTCATGCAGGACAATGCTCCATCACACGCGTCCAAGTACTCCACAGCGTGGCTGGCAAGAAAGGGTATAAAAGAAGAAAAACTAATGACATGGCCACCTTGTTCACCTGATCTGAACCCCATTGAGAACCTGTGGTCCATCATCAAATGTGAGATTTACAAGGAGGGAAAACAGTACACCTCTCTGAACAGTGTCTGGGAGGCTGTGGTTGCTGCTGCACACAATGTTGATGGTGAACAGATCAAAACACTGACAGAATCCATGGATGGCAGGCTTTTGAGTGTCCTTGCAAAGAAAGGTGGCTATATTGGTCGCTGATTTGTTTTTGTTTTGTTTTTGAATGTCAGAAATGTATATTTGTGAATGTGGAGATGTTATATTGGTTTCACTGGTAAAAATAAATAATTGAAATGGGTATATATTAGTTTTTTGTTAAGTTGCCTAATAATTATGCACAGTAATAGTCACCTGCACACACAGATATCCCCCTAAAATAGCTAAAACTAAAAACAAACTAAAAACTACTTCCAAAAACATTCAGCTTTGATATTAATGAGATTTTTGGGTTCATTGAGAACATGGTTGTTGTTCAATAATAAAATTATTCCTCAAAAATACAACTTGCCTAATAATTCTGCACTCCCTGTAGTGTGGCAGATATCTTCCATAGAGAAGGCCGCTACTCTTTCATATTCAAAGGAGCCAGCTGAGGAGTTTCACATATCTGACTAGTTAGGGTATCTCCCCAGAAGACCTGGAGGAGGTGGTGTGGGCCTCCCTGCTTAGACTGCCTCCCCAATTGGCAAAAAATGGATGGATGGATCTTTTTGCAGACCACTAATAAAAAATAAATAAATAAATCTTTTGCTTCTGTCTTTATAGGTTACCGGTCAGTACCTCTGACGAACAGCTACAACGAGGACCTGGAGTTAGCTTCTCTGTTAGTCCACATGGACATAACCAGAGGAAGGGTGAGCTCCACAATGTTTGTACTGTCAACAAACCACTCAAAAACATGCAGACACAACTTGAAGAAGGCCAAGCAGACATATTGCTGACAAATTAGTAATGAGTGCTGTGAAAGCCAGATCTTGATTTTTTTATTTTATTTATTTTCTGCTTTTTAAAAAATTTTAATTTTTTTTATGGAAGAACAAATAGTCAAATGAGCTTTACACAGATTTCGTTACCTTTGGATCGAGGTAAACGTACTCCTACCCTGTTTCATGACTTTATGTAAAGCTAGGTGAACATGTAGCTGTACAGTTACTGAACAAACATGAGAGTGCTTTTACTTTTTGCATCTAACCTAGGTTTTAATTTCCATCGTGTTTAATTTCCTGTATGTTAATAATACCACAGGACAGCCTCTTTTTTTGATTCTTACTTTAAAAGCAGGGGTGAGTGTACCTCATGTCTTAGTAGTGATAGTATACTGTACATGTTTCTGAATTACATGATTTGTATGAAAAACAATTAGCTACTAACTGGTGCAAAAATGTAAGGGCAGTGACATTAAAAGAAGAAGAAATGCATCACTATTTTAACACTTAAACCATGAGCCCCGACCCCATCACACCCTGTGTATACAAACATAACCCTTCGTTTAACTCAGCCCACCACCCCAGGCTGACTGAGCTTCGGGTGGGATCGCACAATTGAAATACGAGCAGCCACAAACAAAAAAACAAAAACAAACCACCAAATGTATAGTCACACATTAGCCGGCAGGTCTGCAATGAGATTCGTCAGATAGTGAATGGTGCAAAACACCCAAATGGGCCATAAAAGGCTTCCATGTATGAAAAAATATCTCCCTTGGGCCTCTCAGTACAGTGGACTGATGTTTCTGTGTACGAAAGGTGAACGCAATTATTTTTGTTTAAAGCTAATGCTTCATTAGCGGTCCCAGAATTTGCTATTAGTGGACATTGTTGCAGGGGACTCTACTGCTTTTATCTCGAGCATCAATATAAAGCACAGATTTGGAAAAATGAGTCCTTTTAAAAAACACTTCTGCTTGTCTGAGTTAAGTGCTTGTATGTTCTTTGTCTGTAGCTGCCTCCCTCAAATTATTTCTTAATCCCTCCCCAGCTTTTCTTCCCATTTACTTTTGCCTTTATAGTTCATCTTATGTTCTTGAATGACCTGACAAAATTATAAATGCAAGACTTTAAGCTCATCTTTGATTATACAGAGAACCACTAGTGTTTACTCCTTTGTTTTGTTTTTTATTTCAGGATGAAAACGGTGAGGTTCTCAGCCCATTCGCTGCAGTCGGGGCCTCATCAGTGTCGGCAACAGCTCAGTCAGTGCGGGAGCGTTTTGGGGAGCTGAGCTCAGTCTCCTCAACGTCGTCCAGCATGTCTCCTTTGCCTCAGTCTCCAGCCCAGGCCATGGCCTACAGAGGGAGGGAAGGCTCTTTTGAATCCCGCTACCAGTCCCCCATAGATGACTTCAGGGTGTCCCAGGAGACACTGCTGGACATGGACGCGCAAAACAGAAGGTGTGTGTGTGTGTGGTGTGTCTCTCTTTGTGGTGTTAGATGCCTGTCCAGAGTGTTTTGGACGTGTAGAAGATTACAGACATTATCCTGTCTTTGTCTTCACTTCAGGATCCCGCGGAGGACCAGAGTGGAGAACCGTGTCTAAGTCCAAGCCAATCAGGACGCATTTCTGTTGCAACCCCCCCTTCCTCCTCCCCATCCCCACCACCCAGTCGCCTCTCCCCCGTACCGATGATGTCACTGACTGCTGTGAACAGTTTCCATGGAAACGCCCACCACCGCTTTGGCCTACATTTCAGGCAGCTCTCTCTCCCTCCATTCGCCCACCCCCCCCCCCCTCTCTCCCACACTGTCTTTCTGTCTCTGCCCCTCCCTGCCTGCTGCCCAGCCTCTCTTCACCACTTGCCAGACGAGAAGGTGAAGGGAGCATACTCGGACATTAGAGGGGCGAGGGGGGGTCACTAAGAGGAAGCTGACCGCTGTGGGCAAGAAGAAGAAACGACATTCACAGTAGAACAAAAAGCAAGACTGAAAAAGTTCCAGCTCTGGCCTGACTGTTTGTAATCTCTCGTGTTTTCAGTGTGCACAGCTGCTTAGTTTGAAGGCTAAGATGAAGAAAGGGGACAGTTATAGAAGGTATCAGTTTGAAACTGTTTCCAGTTAAGTTTCTTTGCTCTTCTCTATTTGGCGAATATGAATATATATATATATGTATATGTATATATACACATATATATTTATTCCTGCTGTGCTGTTGGCCAGAGAACAGCACCAGCTCACCTGCTCTCAAAGAGCTCCTGTCTCTATGTTTTTAATTATTATGATTATTTAAACCTTTAAACATTCATAATGTGATTTCTTTTTTTATGTACATGTGTAAAACATGAGGGCTCTCACTGCTTTAAAAAAAAATTCTCTTCTTTTGTTTTGGGGGGGTTTTTCGGGGTTTTTTTGCAGAGGAAATGGTGTGCCTCCAGCATATCTCCTACCCTAAACTTGGAGTGATATTAAATTTTTATTTTATGTTTTTTTTTTTTTTTCCTGTTTGTGTTTGGAGCAGTGAGAGAGCAGATCATATGTTATGCCTGCACATATACACACTTATTTCTAACCTACATTCCAGGAAAAACAAAAAGTGCACATCATTCCGTGTTTGCTGCGTTTCACACGCATTTACAAGCCAGTGTGACACATTGAGACATGTCCTGGGAATCCAACACCTCACTGTGTGATGAAGCAGGACCAGGGATAAACGTTAAGCCAAAAAAAAAAGGTCTTATTGTGAGAAATGTGCTTTTTATTTTTTTTTTCCTTCCACTTCTTACTTGTACTACCAATGTGTTACAGGCCATATTTACAGATGTCCTGTCACTCAGAGGGACGAGTCACAGGGCTGTGGGTTACAGCCAAAACATTATCCTGTTCACTCCCCTCAGCAGTGGTTATTATTTACAGTCGCAGTCAGACTTCATATGAGGGACATGAATGTGTGCCTCAAACTACTATAAAAATAATCTAATTAGATTAATTTACAGGGAACACTGTAAATGTTTTAAATTTGTCAGTGCGCCATGATTACTGTAATTATGATGATTGTAATAGTTACCCTTTTAACTATGCAGCCCTTTGTTGCCAGGATTTATGAAGCAGTGGATACTCCTTTGAACTCAGATTTCACGTCGTAAAACTATGTCTGGCCACTTTATTCTGAGCATTTTAATTTGTTCACATTATCTCTTGGCGTAATGGCCACAGATCGGGGACAGTTCATATTAAAGAAAGTGTGTTTTGATTACAACAAATATGTATTCAAATGGTTCTAAGAAAGTGTTTTACTGTAACCAAACAGTTTTAGATATTCTTTGTTTCTTGTTTTGTTTTGTTTTTTAGTTAAAAAGGAAATCTGTATTGACCAGCAGTGGTTGAGTGAGAAGGGTTGAGTTGCCAGTGTTGGGAATAAAGTAATCGTGCCATCTGGTACCCATCACTGGGCCACAGCGACATAAAGGACCGTTCGTGTTTGTGCTGTTGTGGTATTTTTGGGCAGCTTTGTCATAGCTACATGCTGCTTCCCAGAATCCAGTGAGGATTACACTGCCTAAGAGGTAATTAAATTGCCACTGCCCTTGGTTTTATTTGTAATGAAATGTGCAAACAAAACAAGAGGGAAAGAAATGGAGGCTTTGTGCAAAACACTGACTGATGGATCGAAGCGAATGCAGATGCTACATTTCATTATTGTGAACGTTTGTCCAGCTGGTGGATCAGGACCTCCCTTGTGCATTAAGTTCAGGGAGATGTTCTTTCCTGTGATTCTGGGGTAAGAGCAAGATTGACATGAACAGGCAGAGTTAAAGCTTGAATTTTTCTTTGTTTTTTTCTGTAGCTTAGTCATGGATGACAAAGGTAATCTGCGCCTTCATTGAACCCAGAAGGAGCACTTATGGTGTTATCTTTCTAGGTTTGTACTCGAAACAGTGTTTTCTTTGCTTGTACGTGGTGACTATATGATGTAAGCTCAATATTCTTGCTCAGTGTTCAGTCACTGGGGCACACCTAAGCCATATGCTATGATTAGAGGTAAAGGCAGGGTCAGGAGTGAATACTTGAGGTCTCAAAGAAAAAGACAAATGTTGCATTTGCACCCCCATACTAATCCCAAAGCTCCTCCGTGTAACATTTATTTCTCCGATGGATAAGAGCTCACCCTCCAATGCTGCATTGCTCTCATTGCTGAACTGTCTGCTAATGTCTGCTAATGTCTATGTGCCTCGATCTGTGTACACATCACATTGAAGCCACGTCTTTCACCTGCCCCGCTGGGCATAAATCACCTGCACAGCCATGGTACACCCACACAGGTGCTGTCACTTTGCTTCTCTGCACCGTGTGAGCCTCTGCAGACCACGTTTGACTGACATGCCCCCGACTGTACTGTTCACTTCTGTCGAGACAAAACGTACTCCCGCCAACCTGTAATGAGCTCTAATCTGCCAGAATAACCGAGAACACCTGTGTGGGTGCACAGAGCCCTTAACTGTAATTTGAGTTTTGCATTTTTGTTTTTCTCCAGTCTTGTCTGTTTAGTTAGTGACAGCTCCATTTACAACCGCCTTTCTGTAATGTGCCTAAATATGGAGAGGAAGAGTATTCATCTTAATTTTGCCTTTCATATGAAACATATTCAAGCCTGAAAAGTAAATAAAATACTTATTACTTATACATCTTTGTTAGCCTTTCTTTTTTTTAATGTGCTGGTGTGACTCAGTGAGGTTAATTCTTTTCAGTTCCAAGACCAAAATGTAACTGCAACAGGTGTCACTAACTACACTACGCCACAGGAAATCTGTACTTTAGTTTCAATATGAGAATGTGTGAACAGCAGCCTGAAAGTGACCAAAGTGTTGCTGTGCTGAAAGTTTATTATCAATACCTTAAACCCAACGATCTGAAGGCAATTCTACTGTAAAAGAAACATAAGTACATTATTGGAAAACAGGGCAAAAGGCCACGTTGTGGTAGATACACCAGGGGGGCGACCGTGGCTCAGGGGGTTGGGAATCGCATCTGTAACCGGAAGGTCGCCGATTCGATCCCTGGGCTCTCTGTTCTGGTCGTTGTGTCCTTGGGCAAGACACTTTACCCTACTTGCCTACTGGTGTTGGCCAGAGGGGCGATATGGCAGCCTCGCTTCTGTCAGTCTGCCCCAGGGCAGCTGTGGCTACAACTGTAGCTGCCTCCACCAGTGTGTGAATGTGAGAGTGAATGAATAGTGGTATTGTAAAGCGCTTTGGGTGCCTTGAAAAGCGCTATATAAATCCAATCCATTATTACTCGTATTGAGTTAGACTTGCGTTCTTGCTAAACTGGTGTAATTCTTTGTGGGAAAATTATTGGGTTGAGAGCTGGCGCCTGATTTCAGTACACTGAAGTCATTGTCATGTTCAAGAAGCTTTGTGATATGGCGCATTATCAGCCATCAGAAGCCATTGGAAGATCTGGGATAGACCGCAGCAATACTTGGGCTGTGGCACTGAACTTGGTAATAACGGACCCAAAGTGTGACAAGACTACATCCCTCACACCATTCATTACATCATCACTCCCAACCTGAACCTTTGATAAAAGGGAGGATGGAGTCATGTGCGTATTGTAGCCCCAGTTTCCTAATCTTAGCTCAGAGGATTGGCACCCAGTGTGGTCTTCTGCCGCCCAAAGATGCTCTTCCCCATACCCTCGTTGTAACAAGTGGTTACTTTTGTGGCTGTTGCCTCCCACTCAAAGCAGTCGAACCATTCTCCTCTGGCACCAAAAGGCATTTTCACCCAACTGCTGCTCTGGATATTCTTTTTCTGACCCTAGACATGGTTGTATGGAGAAAGAAAAAAAATCACAGTAAATCAGCAGTTTTTCATATACTCAGACTAGCCAGCGGGTGTCCACCCATATGGAAAAGATATATATAAATCTTATAAAGTTTGTATCTGTCTTGTGTGAAACTTGTATGAAAAGCATACAAGAGTGAAAACACATAAGATCCCTTGAAAAATTATATAATGAAAGTTGTATGTTTTGGATACTTACTAAAACAATGTATGAAAGTAATGAGAAAGTGGCCACTTTCAGGAGTAAATCATGTAATCCTTATATGATTTACTCCTGAAAGTGGCCACTTTCATGAGTAATCACATATAAGTTTTTACTATTTCTTTTCCATATGGGCAACTCCAGTCCTCAAGAGCTACGGTCCTGGAGCTTTTAGATGCATCCCTACTAAGACACACCTGAATCAAATAAATGGATTGTTTATCGGGCCTTTGCCAAACGTGATGGCATGCTGAAGAGGTAATCCAACCATTTGATTCAACTGTGTTGGAGTAGGGATGCATCTAAAAGCTGCAGGACAGTAGCTCTTGAGGACTGGAGTTGGACACCCCTAAACTAGCCCATACAACACACTACTTTTAAAGTCACTTAAAGTCAGTTTGAACCCAAGCATGTCATCTTGACCATGTTTACATTGACTGATTGAAGATTTGTGTTAATGAGCAATTACAACAGTACCTAAAAAAAAGTGGCTGAGTGTTTGCAACAAAGCTAGCTCGACAGGGACTTAAAATTACTTATGAGGTAAATCTTTCATCATAAGGCCTCAGTGTTCTTATTTGAGGTTTAGTCCTCTTAATTTGCCTCAGTGCTGTAAGCCATGTAGAAAACTTTACTTATGAACAGACACACTGAGCCACAGCTTTCTGACATTGCTTTTATTCTGAAATGCCATCTGTAAAAATTATACATCAAGCCTATGGAACTCTGGTAGTTCACAGTTTGTTTACAGTGTGATTTATTTCATAACAAAGTCTCATAAAAACAAATATACGTACATATCCGATAGGTAAAGAAGCACTTGATGCTACAACACAAACCGTATGTCATGTAGTCTAATATACTGTGTCACTTGTTTGTTTGTTTGTTTGTTTTAGACCCTAAAGGGTGCTTGCCCTCTTTGGATGAAACAATCCCCGATGTCGTCCCACGCTGAGCAATTTCATGTTAAATGAAAAGTATGTACAGATACAAAAAGTGTGAACAAAAACATGTTCCAAAATAACCTCGGGTTGAATGAGCGTCAGTGCTGCTTTTCACATTTGTTGCTGTGAACAGGGCAGCTAGCACATTTCTAAAATAAACTGCAAGCATGAAGTCAGAGTTTGTGATGCAGGAAAAAAAAAAGCAGCATGAAGACGGCACAATGGGAAAATAAGGTTGATTTGATTTACGATTAAGGCCTAGGCAAGCACCCTGCAGCAAAACTGCAGTTTTTCGTACCCCAAAAAAAACAAACAATGAACAGTCTCAACGCTTCACTGAATCGTGTCTCAGCTTAGTCGATAAGAGTCCAAACCCAACCCCCACCTGATCAACATCTGCCAAGTTTGCAGTCTCAAACACACTTTTTTCTCCCTCTTCTTCTGCTTCCACACATCCACCCCTCTCTTTTTTTCCTTCCCACCCCTTCCTTTACCCCCATCACAGCAGGCAGTTGGAAAAAACATGGCAGCAAAACGCTGTCAGCCTGAACGCCTACACTGCCACCTCCACTCCTGCACCTCAGTGTCTACTTTCTCCTGAAGGGAAAATGGCGGAGGGGAGAATAGTGGAGAGTTGTAGTGGAGATCTAGACAAAACTGGAGAAGGAGAGAAGGGAGTGGGCGGCTGGGTGGGTGGATTTTGGCGGGGGCGGGGGGGCTGCTATAGCGTCCATCTCATGTAGGCGGTTTGGGGGATGTGGGGTGTCATGCCCACCTCGAGGGGTGTAAGCGGTAAGGAGAGACAGAGAGAGGGAGAGATGGGTGGGGGGGGAGTAAGGAGGGGTGGGTGGAGGTGGCTCCAAGATCCATTTCCTTCCAGTGATCTTGTTACAAACGCATCTGCCGTCTTTTAGTCAGGCTCCCGGAACAAAGACCACCTGCGATGTCAACTCCATCCTCGCACAAAAAGGCCTCTTCAATCAGTTCCTGTTGCAATTAAAAAAAGAAGAAGAAAGAATTTAAAAAAAAAAGCGGAAAAAGAAATTAAAAATCTGTCACCCTGACAACACGCTCCAGAAAACACGTCTGAATTTCCTTCATTGCTACACAGTGTGCTGGAGTTACACACGCACTGGTTTGAAACACAAACCTGCCACAGCATGCCTCATTACTCATAATTATGATGAATGTGTGTGTTTGTATATTCTATCTTAGCGCTTCTGTATCACCTGAGTGACGATCATAAACATTTAGGTGTGTTTAATTATCACCTTTTAACACCTAAACCCTGCCACGAATAAAATTAATTGTTACGGAGGCGCAAATAATATTTTCATAATGAAACACCTTCTGCTTCTGCTTTTAGAAGTTCTGCAGCTTTTCTTTAGGTGTTTAATTGCTCAAATCAGGATATTTGGTCAGACCCTGCAGGGAGAGCTTACGCTCACGCTGATGAAGATTACCTTTAGTAGCATTCACAGTCTCGTCAGCGTTTGCGTCCTCTGCTTCTGATGCGACACTGCACACCGATGCCTCCGTTTTCTCCTCCATCCCACCTCCTGCCTGCGACTCCGGAGGGGAGGATCCTGTTGTAGGTGGCTCTGCAGCCACACCCGGTGCAACCGGTCGCGTTCCTGTTGTATGAGCAGCGGCACTGGCGGCGGCAGTTTGTTGCAAAGACGCCTTAGTGGTAAACCAGTGTCGCACCAAGTCTGTTGTCAAACTGCTACTCTGAGCAAGTTCCTGCAACTGTGCATACAGAAGGGGAATCAAGAGGAAGGTTCACGGTTATTTGAGGTGCAAAGTGGACACTTAGATGACACATTTCACCTTTTCATACTCATACCTGTTTGCAACCCAGTTCTTTTAGAATTTAGACAGTTTTCCTTTAATGACATGTTATTGAAAATACCCTCAATATATTGCAATAATATTACATCTTACACTAGTCTAAAACGTCTTATTTGATTTTCAATGAACTCTAAAGTTTTAATATCATTTTTATATCATAGTTGCATATACATGTACATATTTAGTTCATATTTATTTAGGAATCAATGAAAATCTGAAGACAGATGCTGATGCTAAATGGCAACAATTATATTAAGGCCAAAAAAAAAAAAAAAGGATCAAATTTGAAGATTTTTTGCAATTTGAAAATGTTCATCAAAGATCCTGATGTTCACAGGAGCCTGCAGCTCAGTTTACGTGACTCGTGAACACAAGTGTAAATTTGAACAAAAATGTTATGTTGTAATAATGAAACTCTTCAAGTAGCACTGCTTGCTTCTGTTCACACAATGCCATTTTTTTCATCTCTTTCACTTTTTTGTCAAAGCTCTTTAAAGCTACTTACAGAGATGGAGAGAGCAACACGATCAAATTTTAGCCACATGTGCAAAAATAAAAAAATAAAAAATAAAAAACTGGTGCACTTGTAGCTATGACTTTGTTTTAGTTCCTCCTGACACCAAGAACGAGTTCTGAGAGAGATCGAGAGGTCTCACTCCTGTCCAGACAGGACATGAAGAATGCATTAAAAAAATGAATGAATAAATAAATTTTTATTGCAATTTAGAAACAGGCTGGATTAGTTGTTCACTAAAACGTACGTGGATTGAAATCGATTTGCAAATGCTACTAGGTGACACACTGACAGATTAATAGAAAGGAATGCATGTGTCAGAGTGG